TGATTTTGCCACAGGTCCGTCTGCAGCCGAACTAGGAGTTTCGAGTCCCACGGCATCATCAGAAGCCTTGAAGATCGTGTTGTCGTATCTACCTCAAAAGTCGAGTTTCCGAAGGAGTCAAAGAAAGGTGGAGTTGGAAAGACAGCGTGGGTTTTAGATGTCAGTACGGCATTCTTGCACGCTCCAGTGATTCATCCAGCAGTTGTTTCATTGCGCGGGCTCGGCGGTGTGTTCTCTTAGCATTCGTCATTGCGACCATCGAGGGGTGTCATTGCGTCCATTTAGCGGCGTCATTGCGTCCACTTAGCGGCTACGTTGTTATCTTGGCTTACATTAATTATATAAGTGCGCTCGCTGCATGGCCCCTAAGTGTTGAACATACGCGCGCAAAAACTCCACCCTTGCGCGGCTCTTTGTCAACGGCTAGAAAAAACCGTAAATACAAGTGTTTTCAGCTCCTCCAGTCTGCAAGAGTGGCCTCAAACCACGCAATTTACAGGGCTTTCTGTGGCTGTCCGGCCAAAATCCTCGTAAAAGCCGATGGTTTTGAAGTGTCTAGGCTTCAAAAATGGTCGAAAAATGACCAAAAGCCTGGACAAATTTTGTCGGAAAAGGCTTTTTTTCGGCTTTTGGAGGCTTCAAAATGGGGCTATGTACGCTTTAAAGTGGCCACAAAGCATCGTAAATACCAGTGTTTTCAGCTCCTCCAGTCTTCAAGAGTGGCCTCAAACCACGCTATTTACAGGTGTTTTTGTGGCGGCTCGGCAGAGAAGCGCGCAAAAACCGATGGTTTTTGAAGTGTCCAGGCTTCACCGTAGTCTGGAAAGTCCCGCATTACTTGTGATTCCCTGCTACCTTTCGTTCACCCCCTCCTCTCTCAAGTGTGTCAATTGGCATTCCCTCAATTCGCTCGTCGACTGTTTTTGTCCACGCAAAATTTAGAAGCGTGCAGGGGGTCTCCGATTGGCAGTTTCTGCCCGAAGCATTGTAATTCACTTGAAACACAACATGAGAATGTATTGGTTTGGGTTGTCTTAGTTTTAGATTTCACAACGCACAGCTGTGTTTTCAAACCGATTCGCCTTGTCCGAGAGCCGAATGCTGTCAACTCCGTTTGGATCCAAGATGCTTACAGCTTACACTTTTGCCGCAGCCAGCTTTTGAGGGAAACACAGCAGATTCTCCACACGCCGCTCAGCTCTCCGTTTTGGTCATGGCAGGAGCTGCGCGCAAACTGTGGTGATGCATGAACCAGGTGACTATCAAAGTGAAGGCTGATATGGGACTGTAGGCCGGCACACAACATGTTCATCGAGTTGAATCTGGATCGCAAGTGCTAAGAAAAAGTGCTTTGCATCACAAGGCAGCGGTAGCAGTGCATGAACCGCAACCGTTGAAGCTCCAGAGGAGTCGCAACTGAGCCAGTGCCCATTACCGATGCTGCACCTGTGACCAGTGCGGTGACCGGGCTGAGTTTGCTTTGAACGTTTACGGACACCCAAGGACTTATATAGTTATTTGTCAGACTCTTTACATCTTGGCAGATACCAGTGCCACAAACTGACAATTGATCTAAATTTGCCGAACTTAGTGTTTGTTTATGTCTATCTCTCTCTATATATATAAATGGAACAGACAGCAGTGGATCACTCGGCTAGCCGAGGTGCAATTCGGTACTGCTGCACCCATCAGCACTACGGGGTATGCCATGGAGCCAATGCCATACACGGTGGATGGCGGGGCATACACCATTCAAGGCAGTGCCTTCAAGGGTTCAATGGCATGACACATGCATTGTCTGTCAACTGAATTTGGCAAGAAGTAGAACCGATTCCTGTCGTTTGTTTTATTCAATTTACCATTCAAGGCAGAGTGTTCTGGGTAAAGTTGGCATCACAAATGTTCATTGTATGATTGTGTTGGGGCTGGTTGCACCAGAGTACACTTGCACGAAAGCAAAGGCTTTTTATGGAAGGATCAGAGTTGTTGCAGGTGCACCTCAAGTGATGTATTCGTCCTCTCCATACACCATTCCCGGTGCCGCTTCCATCTCCGCTATGCCTATGACCTCTTATACCACAGCAACACCTATGCCATACAGTGCCTTGGAAAGTCCAAAACTTCTGAAGCTTCAAGTCAGATGCAGATTGATCATGCAATCTATTGACTCCTTTTTTAGAAAAAGTCTTGGTGCATTTGCTCTATCCCAGGTGGCTTGGACCACACCCAGGGCAAGTGGTTTGCTCCG